TAGAATAGTGTTAAGAGCTGTGAGGTATGCTGAGCTGTCATGGCAAAGTGGTATTTAATGTGCCTATAGGTGTGGAGAGGGCTGTATAATTCCCATTTTTTAAATAAAAGTGCTTAGAAATAAAAAATGAATGGCCTTTTAACCTTTTAAAAATGATTAGTTGGTAAATTTGTGTATAACATTGATGGGTTTCTAATTTTCTAGAATGGTGTTATCAGTAGATTTCTTCAATATAACACAAGTCCTCAGAGGGCATATAACAAATTTGAAGTCAAAAATCATTTGATGTTTTAAAAATTTCAAATTGATTTTGGTTTCCTCACATATGTGGAGGGTCTGCAGCTGACAATCATTTACCTTAAAATTTTGAGCCTGTGATAGTGCTTTTTTTCACATTATTTTATAAATTGCATGAGATTTTCTTTTTTTTTTTCTTTTTTTTTTTTTTTTTTTGAGACGGAGTTTCGCTCTCGTTACCCAGCCTGGAGTGCAATGGCGCGATCTCGGCTCACCGCAACCTCCGCCTCCTGGGTTCAGGCAATTCTCCTGCCTCAGCCTCCTGAGTAGCTGGGATTACAGGCACGCGCCACTGTGCCCAGCTGATCCACCCGCCTCGGCCTCCCAAAGTGCTGGGATTACAGGCGTGAGCCACCGCGCCCGGCCGAGATTTTCAATACTTTATTATAACATAAGCTTTGTCTTAGTTGATTTTGCCCAACTGTAGGCTAATGTAAGTGTTCTGAGCACGTTTAAGGCAGGCAAGACTCAGCTATAATGTTGAGTTATGTTAGGTGTATTTTTTTTTGAGACGGAGTTTTGCTCTTGTTACCCAGGCTGGAATGCAATGGCGCGTTCTAGGCTCACCGCAACCTCCGCCTCCTGGGTTCAGGCAATTCTCCTGCCTCAGCCTCCTGAGTAGCTGGGATTACAGGCACGCGCCACCATGCCCAGCTAATTTTTTGTATTTTTAGTAGAGACGGGGTTTCACCATGTTGACCAGGATGGTCTCGATCTCTTGACCTCGTGATCCACCCGCCTTGGCCTCCCAAAGTGCTGGGATTACAGGCTTGAGCCACCGCGCCCGGCATGTTAGGTGTATTTAACGCATTTTTGACTTACATTATGTTCAATTTATGATAGGTTTCTTGGGACATAGCCTCATCATAAGTTGAGAAGCATCTGGATTAACGTGTGGATTTTTCTCAGTATATTAATATGCTGGAGCAAAATGAAAGGATATTAATGTCTTTTACTTTTTTCTTATGGAATAAATAATTTATTATATCAGAGTAATACATTAGAGTTTCTTGATGTATTTCCTTAATTCCCTATTTCTTTAATTTTTAAAATTTTTGAGACGGAGTTTCACTCTGTTGCCCAGGCTGGAGTACAGTGGTGAGATCTTGGCTCATTGCAACCTCTGTTTCCTGGGTTCAAGTGATTTTCATGTGTCAGCCTCCTGAGTAGCTGGGACTACAGGGGCGCACCACCATGCCTGGCTAATTTTGATATTTTTAGTAGAGGTGGGGTTTCGCTATGCTGGCCAGGCTGGTCTCGAACTCCTGACCCCAAGCAATCTGCCCATCTCAGCCTCCCAAAGTGCTGGGATTGCAAGCATGAGCCACTGTGCCTGGCTGCTATTTCTTTTAAAATTTAGAAACAGAGCCCCTTTAAGTGTGGTGAGAGATAGATTCACTTTATTTATAAAAATAACAGCCAAATCTATGTGTTTGAACACAGACTTCTATTTTCCCAAATGTACTTAATATATTTTCATCTTGTCTGAGGTATGATAATCAAATGATAATCAATTCTAATTTCCTTGATATACTATAATCTTTTTCCTTTCAAATGACTTCATTTTCTATTCTAACAAAAACTTTTTTATTTAAGCAAAAAGAAAACAATATTCGTTGTTTAACTACGTTTGGACATTTTGGTTTTGAATGTTTGCCCAATCAGTTGGTGAACAGATCTATCCGACAAGGATTCACTTTTAATATTCTCTGTGTGGGTAAGTGTCAAACACTTCATTTGAACTGTTCCTTCATTTTTCCCAATGTTCATTTCAACTTATCTTAAGCAGTGTGACACTGATGCTATTAATTCAAATATATCTTCACGTTTACAATGATTTTCAGCTTAGCCATAGTATGTAATTTTTTTTTGAGACAGGGTCCCACTCTTGCCCAGGCTGGAGTGCAATGGTGTAATCATGGCTCACTGTTGGCTCGACCTCCTGGGCTCAAGCAGTCCACCTGCCTCAGTTTCCCAAAGTGCTGAGATTACAGGCATGAGCCACCACACTTGACCTGTAATAATTTTTAAAAATTGAAACATTTCTGTGCTCTTAAAAGTCTGATGTAGCTTAGTGTATACTGTGTTTTCTTTCTTTCTTTTTTTTTTTTTTTTTGAGACCAAGTCTTGCTCTGTTGCCAGGCTACAATGCAGTGGCATAATCTCTGCTCACTATAACTTCTGCCTTCTGGGTTCAAGTGATTCTCCTGCTTCAGCCTCCCAAGTAGCTGGAACTACAGGCACATGTCACCATGCCCAGCAAATTTTTGTATTTTTAGTAGAGACGGCGTTTCACCATGTTGGCCAGAATGGTCTTGATCTCTTGACCTTGTGATCTGCCTGCTTTGGCCTCCCAAAGTGCTGGAATTACAGGTGTGAGCCACCGCATCCAGCCGCTTAGTGTATACTTTCTTTCTCCATTATGTTAGTGACTGAGAGAATCAGGGCTAGCATGTACACTTTCAACACTATCCTTTTTTATTTTTAAAATTAATAGTATTCCTAATTGAAAAATTATAATTATATACATGTATGGATACAAGGTGATATTTTGATATATGTTTACCATGTGGAATGATTCAATCAAGTGAATTAACTTATCTATTACCTGGCTTACCTATCATTTTTTAATGATAAGACATTTGAAATTTACTCTCTTATTTTGAAATATACAATACATTGAGTACAGTCACAATGCTGTACTGTAGATTTCAAAACTTACTTCTCCTCTCTGTTTGAAACTGTTAGTTTGCTAGGGATGATGGCCTCTAGCTCCATCCATGTTCCTGCAAAGGACATGACTTCGTTCTTTTTCATAGCTATGTAGTATTCCATGGTGCATATATACCACATTTTGTCTATTCAGTCTATTATTGATGAACATTTAGGTTGACTCCATGTCTTTGCTATTGTGAATAGTGCTGGAATGAGCTCTGTTAGTTTGCTAAGGATGATGGCCTCCAGCTCCATCCATGTTCCTGCAAAGGACATGATCTCATTCTTTCTTATGGCTGAGAACATGTGCCAAAGTGGGAGCTAAATGATGAGAACACATGGACACAAAAAAAGGAATAATAGACACTGGTGCTACTTGAGGGAGCAGGTTTGGAGGAAGGAGAGGATCAGACAAAATAACTATTGGGTACTATGCTTAGCACCTCGATGACAACATAATCTGTACAACAAATCCTCATGAGGTAAGCTTACCTATATAACAAACCTGCACATGTACCCCCAAAACTAAAATAAAAGTAAAAAAAAGCCGGGCGCGGTGGCTCAAGCCTGTAATCCCAGCACTTTGGGAGGCTGAGGTGGGCGGCTCACAAGGTCAAGAGATCGAGACCATCCTGGCCAACATGGTGAAACCCCGTCTCTACTAAAAATACAAAAATTATCTGGGCGTGGTGGCGTGCACCTGTAGTCCCAGCTACTCAGGAGGCTGAGGCAGGAGAATTGCTTGAACCCTGGAGGCAGAGGTTGTAGTGAGCCGAGATTGTGCCACTGCACTCCAGCCTGGTGACAGAGTGAGACTCTATCTCAAAAAAAAAAAAAAAAAAAAAAAAGTAAAAAACATACTGTACCTTTTGACCAAAATTTCCTCTCTCCCTGCTCCCCCAACCTCTGGTAGCCAGTATTCTACTCTCTACTTTTATGAGCAGCTTTCTAAGTTTAAAAACCACTGTAGGAATTCAAAGCATGGCTTCTTCTTAGCCCCTTTAAGCCGCTATGACAATTAATCTCTGTCTATTGCAGGGGAAACTGGAATTGGAAAATCAACACTGATTGACACATTGTTTAACACTAACTTGAAGGATAACAAATCCTCACATTTTTACTCAAATGTTGGTCTTCAAATACAGACATATGAACTTCAGGAAAGCAATGTTCAGTTGAAATTGACTGTTGTGGAAACAGTGGGGTATGGTGATCAAATGAACAAAGAAGCCAGGTTAGTGTTTTCTTAATTAAATTAAAAAAGATTTCTTATTTCGGGGCATTTGCCTTCCTTTGCCATACACTAATTTGTATAAGTAATACCCTTTCTTCCATATTTTAACATTTTCCTAAGTAATATTCTTTTCTTACGAGATTAATACTTTTGTATATAATTGGTTTTCTTACAAGTCTTTTATTTAACCCATTATAGCAAAAATTATAGTTTCTATTAGTTTTAGCTTATTTCCTTATTTCTTTATTTAACTTTATTTGTACAAATTTTCCATACAGGTTGTACTAATTTACATTCTCACCAACAGTGTCTAAGGGTCCCTATTTCTCTGTATCCTTGCCAAATTGTGTTATTTATTTACTTTTATTATTTTTTGAGACAGTGTTTCACTCTGTCACCCAGGCTAGAGCACAGTGGCACAATCTTAGCTCACTGCAGCTTCCACCTCCCAAGCTCAAGCGATCCTCCCACCTCAGCCTCTTGAGTAACTGGGACTGCAGGAGCATGTCACCATGCCTGGCTAATTTTAAACATTGTTTGTATAGATGGGGTCTTGCTATGTTGCCCAGGCTGGTGTCAAACTGCTCGCCTCAAGGGAGTCTCCCACCTTGGCCTTCCAAAGTGCTGGGATTACAGGCATGAAGCACTGGACCTGGCCGGTTTTATTTTTAATATTTTTAACAATAGCCATTCTGACTGGAGTAAGATGATATCTCATCGTGGTGTTCCTTTGTATGTTGGTCTTCTGAAAAATGTCTATTCACGTCCTTTGCCCACTTTTTAATGGGATTATTTGTTGTTGTTTATTTGCTTGTGTTCTTTGTATAGTCTGGATACTAGTCCCCTGTTGGATGCACCCAGCTTTCCTCTATGTTTACATTTTATATAACCACAGAGTAGAGTAAAGCATGAGCCTGATTATTTGTTTGGAATTAATATCTTTGTATGGACATGTTATGAATGTTTTCTTTATCACTATAGCAAACTTTATCACTATATGCTTTGTATACATGCATACATGTTAACTGTTTATTAAGTGGTCAAAAAGCAGGCTTTAGATTTTATTAATCCATTATGCTAAATGTATAAATTATTTTTTTAGCCACCAACCAATAGTTGACTACATAGATGCCCAATTTGAGGCTTACCTTCAAGAAGAGCTGAAGATTAAACGTTCCTTGTTTGACTACCACGATTCTCGTGTCCACGTGTGTCTGTACTTCATTTCACCCACAGGACATTCCCTGAAGTCTCTTGATCTGTTAACAATGAAGAACCTTGACAGTAAGGTATGTAATGATAAATTCACCAAGCTTTCTTTTCTTTTTCTTTCTTTCTTTTTTTTCCCTATATTTGAGACAAGGTCTTCCTCTGTCACCCAGGCTGGACAGCAGTGGTGCAATCACAACTCAATGCAGCCTCAACTTCCTGGGCTCAAGCGATCTTCCCGTCTCAGCCATCCAAGTAACTGGGCCCACAGGAACATGCTACCAAGCTTGGCTGATTTTTGTATTTTTTGTAGGGACGGGGTTTCACTATGTTGCCCAGGCTGAACTCAAACTTCTGGGCTCAAGTGATCCACTCACCTCGCTCTCCCAGAGTGCTGGGATTACAGGCGTGAGCCATTGTACCTGGTCCCAACCTTTCATGACGTAATATTAATTTTGAGATAATAACACAACTTGAAGGCACTTGGATGCAAGAGCAGTTACGTATCTTTAGGTGATTTCATCATTATGCAAACATCATAGAGTTTACCTACACAGACCTAGACGGTATAGCCTACTACACAGCTATGCTATAGTCTTTTATAGTATGGTCTATTGCTCCTAGGCCACAAAACTGGACAGCATGGTACTGTAAGAAATACTGTAGAATTATAACATAATGGTACGCATCTGTGGATCTTTTTTGTTTTTATTTTATTTTTTAATTTTTTGAGATGGAGTCTTACTGTCTCCCAGGCTACAGTGCAGTGGCGTGACCTTGGCTCACTGCAACCTCTGCCTCCTGGGTTCCTGCCTCAGCCTCCCAAGTAGGTGGCATTACAGGTCTGCGCCACCATGGCTAGCTAATTATTGTATTTTTAATAGAGATGGGTTTCGCCATGTTGGCCAGGCTGGTCTTGAACGAACACACAGCAGAGCAGTTTGTTATATATATATCCTAATTATTTTTTTCTGTTAATATTTAAGGCATTTGCATTAGTGTGTTAGGGCTAGCATAGCAAAATACCACAGACTGGGTGGTTTAAACAAAGGAAATTTATTTCCTCACAGTCTCAGAAGCTAGAAGTCCAAAGCAAGGAGGTCCAAAGGAAATGTATTTTCTCACAGTCTCAGAAGCTAGAAGATCAACATGTCAGAAGATGTGCTTTCTTCTGAAACCTCTTTTCTTTCTAGCAGATGACTTTGCCTTATCTCTGTGCTCTCACATGGCATTTCTCCTGGTGTCTCCTGGGTGTCCACATTTTGTCTTTTAGGGGCGCCAGTCACTTTGGATTGGGCTCTACTGTAAAAGTCTCATTTTTTTCTTTTTTTTGTTGATGCCCAGGCTGGAGTACCGTGGCGTGATCTCGGCTCACTGCAACCTCTGCCTCCCAGGTTCAAGTGATTCTCCTGCTTCAGTCTCCTGAGTAGCTTGGATTACAGGCACGCACCACCACACCTGGCTAATTTATGTATTTTTAGTAGAGATGGGGTTTCACCACGTTGGCCAGGCTGGTCTTGAACTCCTGATCCTAGGTGATCTGCCTACCTTGGCCTCCCAAAGTGCTGGGATTACAGGTGTGAGCCACCGCACCTTGCTCAGTCTCACTTTTTAGTCACCTTTATGAAAGCTTTATCTCAGTTAAAGTCACATTCTGAGGTAGGGTGTTAGGGCTTCAACATATAAGTTTTTTGATTGCAGAGGGAGACAATTCATATTTGATAGCTTTCAACCTTGATTAACCTTTGAGATCATGACCATTTGCCTATAGAGTAGCCCCCTTGGGGCTAAGTTCCAAGACCCCCAGTGGATGCCTGAAACCATGTATGATACAGAGCCTGATATATACTATGCTTTTTTCTTTTCCCTTTTACTTTTTTTGGGATAGAGTCTCACTCTGTCACCCAGGCTGGAGTGCAGTGGCGCAATCTCAGCTCACTGCAACCTCCGCCTCCTGGGTTCAGGCAATTCTCCTGCCTCGGCCTCTCAAGTAGCTGGGATTACAGGCGTATGCCACCACAGCTGGCTAACTTTTTTTGTTTGTATTTTTTGTAGAAATGGGATTTCACCATGTTAACCAGGATGGTCTTGATCTCTTGACCCCGTGATCTGCCTGCCTCGGCCTCCCTAAATGCTGGGATTATAGGCGTGAGCCACCATGCCTGGCCTGCTATGCTTTATTCTATGCATACTTACCTATGATAAATTTTATTTATAAATGAGATGCAGTTCTCTTTTCCTATTAGTCACTATTGTTGGTTTCTTAGATGAAGACTGAAGCTAACAATAGTAACTAATAATAAAATAGAACAATTATAAAAATACACTGTATTAAAAGTTATGTGAATGTTGTCTGTGTCTCTCAAAATATCTTTTTTTGAGAAAGAGAGAGAGTTTTACTCTTGTTGAACAGGCTGGAGTACAGTGGTGTGATCTCAGCTCACTGAAACCTCTGCCTTCTGGGTTCAAGCGATTCTCCTGCCTCAGCCTCCCAAGTAGCTGTGATTACAGGTGCTCACTACCACACCTGGCTAATTTATGTATTTTTAGTAGAGACAAGGTTTCACCATGTTGGCCAAGCTGGTCTCGAACTCCTAACCTCAGGTGTTTCACCTGCCTCGGCCTCCCAATGTGCTGGGATTACAGGCCTGAGCTACCATACCCGGCCTCAAAATATCTTATGGAACTGTCTCACTCTTCTTATGATGATGTGAGATAATGCGATGCCTACATGTTGAGATAAAGTGAGGCAAATAGTGGGATAATTCATATCCAGGCTGAGATGGAATCGGTCAACTTGACATTTCATCATAGTACTTAGAATGACATGCAATTTAAAACTTGTACATTGTGTATTCCTAGAATTTTTATTTACTGTTTTTGGATTGCTGTTGATTATGGGAAATTGTGGAAAGTGAAACTGTGCTGGGCTCTGTGGCTCATGCCTGTGATTCAGCACCTTGGGAGGGGGAGACAGTAAGATCACTTGAGCTCAGGAGTTCAACACCAGCCTGGGCAATGTAGTGAGATCCCATCTCTACAAAAAACAAATACAAAAATTAGCCACCAGGCATGGTGGTGTGCACCTGTAGTCCCAGCTACTTGGGAGGCTGAGGTTGGAGGATCACTTGAGCCCAGGAGTTCAAGGCTACCGTGAGCCAAGATAATGTCAACCTGGGCAATAGATCAAGTCCCTGTTGAAAGAAAAGAAAGAGAGGGAGAGGGAAAGGGAGAGGGGAGGGGAGGGGAGAGAGAAACAAGGGAAGGGGAGGGAAGGAAGGAAGGGAGGGAGGGAGGGAAGAAGGAAAGGAAGGAAAAAAGTAAAGAAAAAGAAGAAAGAGTAACTGTGGATAATAGGGGATGCCTGTATTTTTAAAATAAAATTTACTATATGATACTGTGAAATAATCCCACTGATGTTTGACTAGTACCACCGATGGTGTGAAACAGAAGGCGTTTTTGATCCTGGCTGCAGATCCTATCCGGGAGGATTCGGAATACAAGAGCCTGCAGGCAGCACTGCTTCTTATACAAAAACAGCTAAGAAAAGCATAATTCTTTCCAGCCTAAACTTGGGACACATGAGGACTTCCTTTCAACAGGCCACTTAAGCCCCATGGTTTCAGCAAAATCTCAAAACTGATACGAGCCTCTGTTTATTTGCTTCATTTTTCTAATTATTCAGTAGTTTTTTGTAGTTCAGTTTGATCGCACAGAAAATCAGTCTGTTGAATGTCTGTGAAACCCAAAATGTGCAATGTTGTAGTTTTATCCTTACAGAAGGAATTTAATTTTTGTATATATAAAGGTTACAGGACTTGTCAGTAGAAGCAGCTTTTGAATATTTGCTTTCTCACTTGCTAAGTGTCTGTGACCTTGGGAAAAATGTTCAGAACTTTCTGTGATTAAAAGTATGGGCAGGGCCGGGCATGGTGGCTCATGCCTGTAATCACAGCAATTTGGGAGGCCAAGGTGGATGGATCACCTGAGGTTAGGAGTTCGAGAACAGCCTAGCCAACATGGTGAAACCCCATCTCTAGCGAAAAATGCAAAATTAGCCAGGCGTGGTGGCAGGTGCCTGTAATCCTAGCTACTCGGGAGGCTGAGGCAGGAGAATTGCTTGAACCCGGGAGGCGGAGTTTCCAGTGAGCTGAGATCACGCCATTGGACTCAAGCCTGGGCAACAAGAGCAAAACTCCAAACTCCGTCTCAAAAAAAAAAGAAAAAGAAAAAGCATGGGCAGTGGGTTCAGGCTGCCTGCTTTCACAAACACGACTCTATTACTTGCTAGGTGAGGTCTTGGGAAAATGATGATGCCTCAATTTTTTCTCTGTGATCTTCATGCAAGTCTTCCATAAGTCTAAAAGTATTTTTCATAAAAAATTTAGAAGGGTCAAATATGGTGGCTCATGCCTGTAATCTCAGCACTCTGGGAAGCTGAGGAGGGAGGACTGCCTGAGCCTGGAAGTTGGAGACCAGCTTGAACAACACAGTGAGGCCCTGCCTCTACAAAGAAAACAAAAATAGCCGGCCATGACAGCATGTGGTCCTGGCTACTCAGGAGGCTGACGTGGGAGGACCGCTTCAGCGTGGGGGGCTGAGGCTGCAGTGAGCCGTGATTGTGCCACCACACTGCAGACAGGGCCTCAGAGCAAGACCCTCTTTCTCAAAAAAAAAAAAAAATGGTTAAAAGTATGTCTTCTTTTGTAAAACTCGAGGGCCAATATACACATAAAGGAAATTGTCATGTTATCAGTTTCTTTTCTGCACTTAGCTCTAATAAAACATGCTGTTTTCAACTTTACTTAGTTGAAGACAACTTTATTTAGCCTTCAACTTTATTTAGTTTTAGAGAGAAAAAGTTCTAAGTTGGGTGTCCTTTATCTAAGGAGTCTCAATTTCTGCTATGTATTGTTCAAACTGAAAAGATACTTTGTACTTAATCTGAGATGTCACGAAGTAGTTGAAATAAATTAGATTTCTAGTTAAATTAAGAGCTGCTTCAAGTTCTTGATTAGTAATACATTCAATAGTCAGGAATACACACCCTTAATTTCGTGGTTACCTGTTATCGTCTAGCCATTTTCCAGATATATAAAATCTCTAATTTTCACAAAGACCATTATATAAAGAGGTAGGCAAGAGTATGTAGCTACTGTCTTTTTCTTAGAGTGCAGTGGCATGAACAAGTCTCATGGCAGCCTCGACCTTCCTGGCTCAAGGGATACTCCCACATTAGCCTCAAGTAACTGGGACCACAGGCACGTGCCCGCATGCCTGGTTAATTTTTAATTTTTTGTAAAAATGGGGGACTTGTGATATTGTCAGGGTGGGTCTGAAACTCCTGGGCTCAAGTGATCTGCTAGACTCAGCTTTTCAAAGTGCTGGGATCACCGGCATGAGTCTCCATGCCCTGCTTGTCTTTTTCTCTTTTCTTTTTTTTTTTTTTTTTTTTTTTGAGACGGAGTTTCACTCTTGTTTCCTAGGCTGGAATGCAATGGTACTATCGTGGCTCACTGCAACCTCTGCTTTTCGGGTTCAAGTGATTCTCCTGCCTCAGCCTCTGGACTAGCTGGGATTAATTAATTAGTTAATTAATTAATTAACTAATTTTGTATTTTTTGTAGAGATGGGCTTTCACCCTGTTGGTCAGGCTGGTCTCCAACTCCCGACCTCAGGTGACCTGCCCGCCATGGCCTTCCCAAGTGCTGGGATTACAGGAGTGAGCCACTGCACGTGGCTGTCTTTTCTATCAAGTTGGTCAGTTCTTCTTGCAATGAATGCCTTTCCCCTTAAATCTGAACATCTGAGGAATTATTGACATAGGAAGTTTCCATTTCTTTCTTTCTTTTCTTTTTTGAGACAGAGTCTCTCTCTGTCACCCAAGCTGGAATGCAGCTATGTTGCCGACGCACAATCTCACTCACTGACACCTTAACCTCCTGGGTTCAAGCAATTCTCCAGCCTCAGCCTCCTGAGTAGCTCATTACAGGTGCGAGCCACCACCCCCAGCTAGTTTTTGTATTTTTAGTAGAGATGGGGTTACATCATGTTGGCCAAGCTGGTCTCGAACTCCTAACCTCAGCTGATCCACCTGCCTCGGCCTCCCAAAGTGTTTGTTAGGATTACAGGCATGAGGCACCGTGCCCAGCCAGCCAAAAGTTTCCATTTCTTTATGTTAATGATTTACCATCACTATGTTATGTCAGCTTCAAGTCCGGCTGGAGCCGCCCCCAAAGTGGCAGCAGGGGAATTCCCATAGGGTAGTGCCCCAAACGGTTCTGAGATGGGACTGGTTGGAATTCACAGGCTGGAGTACTAAAATGCGAGGGTGATCAGTCTAAGGCATTTCTGAGGGAGCTCACAGAGTGTTGTGGCAGTGCTCGTGACGGACAGCGGGAGAAAACAGGCGTTCTACCTAGCTGTGTTCAGCGAGGAGGCCACTTTGTTCACACTGTGGAGTTTCTGTCGTTGCTGTTGCTTGGTTTTTGTGCGTTTGTTTTTGTTTTTCATCAGATTCTGGCTCACCGTAGCCTCAGCTTCCTGGGCTCAAGTGATCCTCGCACCTTAGCCACCCGAGTAGCTGGGGCTACAGGTGCTGCCACCACGCTTGGCTAATTTTTTTATTTTTAGATGGAGTTTTGCCCTCGATGCCCAGGCTGGAGTACAATGCATGACCTTGGGTCATTGCAACCTCCTTCTCCAGGATTCAAGTGATTCTCCAGCCTCAGCCTCCCGAGTAGCTGAAATTATGGGCACCCACCACCACACTTGGCTAATTTTTGTATTTTTAGCAGAGGCAGGGTTTCACCATGTTGGCCTGGCTGGTCTTGAACTCCTGACCTTAGGTGATCTACTCACCTTGGCCTCGCGAAGTGCTGGGATTACAGGCATGAGCCATTGCGCTTGGCCCTAAACCTGGCTAATTAAAAATTTTTTTTGAAGAGACAAGGTCTAACTATGTTGCCCAGGCTGCTCTTGTGCTCCTAGCCTCAAGCAATCCTCCTGCCTCGGCTTGCCAAAGTACAGGTTATGGAGTTTTTATGAGGGTTTAAGGACTTTGGCTTAGGGCTGGGACCAGTTTCTTGCAGTGTTTTGGGAACAATCTGGATACCTTGATTAGTGGCTGTGAATGTCCAAGGTCCCAGCTTTGGTTCAAGCCTGCTGGGAAAACTCTGCAGCTGGCTGGGTCACAGAGAGGCCAAGGCACTCTGAGATTTTTGGTCAGGACACAGAAAGAAAGCGGGGGGACTAAGGGACTCCCCCCAACACTGGAGGATGTCTTTTCCAGCTTTCTCACTAATATGACCCCACACATTTACGTTAGGCTTAAATCTACTCTAGCAGTTGTCTGGTCCTTACTGGAGAAACTTTTATTTTTAGATATTAAAGTTTACACAATTTTGAATGTCTGTGCTATAATATTACAGCCCTGGATTTGTCCATGGATTTTTTTTTTTTTTTTTTTTTTTAGACAGAGTTTCCATCTTGTCAACCAGGATAGAGTGCAACGGTGCAATCTCAGCTCACTG